GAATGCATGAAGGAAGTCTCCGCAGCCAGAGCTGGTAGAATAAACGGTTGTCTACTTTCCTATCTTTCAGCAGACTTTGCATATGTCGCTTAAGTTGTGAAGGTGTTCTGTCACCGAGGCATATGCTACTTAGTAGTTGATCGACAGCCTTCTGGTCAGATAACGAAGTAGCTTTCAGCACCTCCTGCTTCAAAACATCATAAGAAGTGTCTGGGTGGGGCTTTAGTAGTGTCTCCCTTACTTGTTCAGCCACTTCTTCCGGCAAAACAGAGCTTGTGTATCCGAACTTTGTGTTTTGTGAAGTTATATGATTGGCCATGAAGAAATGTTCTAGACGGACAAACCACAATTGCGGGTCGTTAAACTTAAAACAAGGCATAGGAAGATTAATGGCACCCACGGACCCTAAATTCGGAAAGTCTTGATTATGAGAGTTTAAGGACATCAGTACTGGTACAGCAAAAAAATGTTTAAGAACAAGAGCAGGAAAAATACAATAAACAAGTATGTCAATGCCTACCGCAAAGCAGCCAGAGAAATTATCAGTATATATACATATATATCCATATTGTATAGGATTATTAAAGACTGGTTGCAGTATTCAACTGAAGACAAGAATAATATCCACGTGTGAAACTTGCAAGAGTTTAATCACGTCGGGATCACCAGTTTGTCGAGCTCTGAAATCTGACTCGAAATTTGTATACGCGTCCCCACACACTAGTGCCCACTTATAATTTCCGACACTGCTGATTCACCTGCGTGAGACAGGGTAAGTATCAGAAGTTAACGCGAAGTATATATCAGCAAGTTGTATTAGTCAACGAGCGAGCAAAATGTCTTTTTCAGTACAACTAAAGAAAAAATGTACAATGAGTTGTTACATACATAAACGCCATACAGTGAAATAAAATGCTACAATGGGCACTAATCACAAATCCCTTCAACAATGCTCACTCAACACTCGTCAACTTCCATCACAAAGCATAACACCATCATCCCTGTCTAACTGGCTCGACGACACACACTCCTCCGAATAACTCACAGGTAAACCAATCAGTACCATGATCATTCAGCAACAACCGCATCAGACACCACTGCATATAACCACTCACTGACTGAATCAGTGAATCACGGATCCACTCACAGAGTCGATCGCAGTCAAAATGTATGTGGGGCAACTTGCATGGTTGTGAGGACGCAGCACCGTGCTAAATAAGACCCACATCAACACGAGGGATGATGCAAAGCCTACAGTGAGTGTGGCTGCGCCTTTACCAATCATCAACAACGTCACATTGATGACAACGAACCAGTCACTCGATGACACTGCCAACCACACACCACCCCACCCCAAATCAAGTCAATCTACTAATCAATCAATCAACCAGCCAACCAATCAGTCATTCAGTGATTCAAGTAGTCACTCAGTGGAGCATTGTAACATAATTACCATCGATACATTAACACAGCACACGCAACAGCGGTCAGGTAAGCGAGTGCACCTGCACGCTCACATACTGACATGTGCTGACACACATTCGCACACTCACACGTACACAAGTGTTCACTTTCACACGAATACACGCAAACACAGACACTCGCATAAGCCAGTGACTCAATTCACCATCCAGGAAACATCCAGTCAAACAATTCATCACCCATTCAACCAATCCATAACGAATCCAATCAATACCAGATCAATCACACTTGAATAACTGACAAGACAATACTGAGGAGCACACCGAGAAGCGACACTCACCTCCTTCAAGTATCGCCTGAATCGCCACTTCAATCGAAGCATATTGTACCAGTCCTCCTAGAATCACTACAAGAAGACGCATTGTGTTTATCTCCTCCTCATCTCATTCCGTCAAAAAACACAAACACAAACACGTGTGTAGGCGCACTCATATACACATACGCATACACATTGGCATTGGCATTAGCATTGGCATTAGCATTAGCATTCACTGAGCACTGTCACTCAGTGATGGCCATGTGTGGACATGGTGACCGGTATCTAGGCTGACATCGAGGCCGATTGACGTTGACACTCAGACTGAAATAGTGTCTTCGCTCCTCTCTGTCGATTATCAGCATCAGCATGTTGTCGACTGATAATGTTGATGACAGTCTGTGTGTAATGGTGAGGATGTAGTCTCAGTTGGTGAGCAGATGCAGTGTGAATATGGTGCGTTCATTGACTGTGGGTTATTCAGGTTGACTTTGCGTTGAGTCGAGGTGGGTGGAGAGGAGGTACAGTTTGATTGATAGTGTTTATCAAAAACGAGAGTTTCACCTCACTCTTCAAAAGTGGTCATAGAAGAGTTGAATGCTGGCTTTTGACAGGGCGATTGACAATCGTGTACAGACGAGACGGGTGGAGTGATGAGATATCGTTAGTGTGGATAGAGTGTGATGACAGTCTGTTGAATGAGGTGTGTATATTTGGAGATTTGCTTTTGTGATGTGATGTGATGTGGTGTGTGTGTGTGTGTGTGTGTGTGTGGATATGTAGGTTAGATGGAGAGTTGGTGTTGTATATGTCGGTTTTCTTTGAGTTGTTGTTGTTGTATATGATGTTGATTTTGGTGGTTGTCTGTGTGTGTCGGAGGTGATGTTGTTTGTGAAGTGCGTTGAACAATCGGGGTACTAGCTCAAATGGTAGAGCGCTCGCTTAGCATGTGAGAGGTACTGGGATCGATACCCAGGTACTCCAGTTACGCGTGTGTGGTCAACCGTACGATGATCCAACGCCTTTTCACGCATTAAATAACAACACACACAACCATCCACCGGTCAACTCCAACAAGCACAACATCCCTCTCACACTATACCAACTACTATCACTGCAATTCACACACTCTCCACGCTCAATATAACCACCCAATTAACATGTGATAATCATTCCACTGACACCGTGAAAATCTGAGTGTCAACGTCAATCGGCCTCGATGTCAGCCTGGATACCGGTCACCATGTCCACACATGGCCATCACTGAGTGACAGTGCTCAGTGAATGCTAATGCTAATGCCAATGCCAATGTGTATGCGTATGTGTATATGAGTGCGCCTACACACGTGTTTGTGTTTGTGTTTTTTGACGGAATGAGATGAGGAGGAGATAAACACAATGCGTCTTCTTGTAGTGATTCTAGGAGGACTGGTACAATATGCTTCGATTGAAGTGGCGATTCAGGCGATACTTGAAGGAGGTGAGTGTCGCTTCTCGGTGTGCTCCTCAGTATTGTCTTGTCAGTTATTCAAGTGTGATTGATCTGGTATTGATTGGATTCGTTATGGATTGGTTGAATGGGTGATGAATTGTTTGACTGGATGTTTCCTGGATGGTGAATTGAGTCACTGGCTTATGCGAGTGTCTGTGTTTGCGTGTATTCGTGTGAAAGTGAACACTTGTGTACGTGTGAGTGTGCGAATGTGTGTCAGCACATGTCAGTATGTGAGCGTGCAGGTGCACTCGCTTACCTGACCGCTGTTGCGTGTGCTGTGTTAATGTATCGATGGTAATTATGTTACAATGCTCCACTGAGTGACTACTTGAATCACTGAATGACTGATTGGTTGGCTGGTTGATTGATTGATTAGTAGATTGACTTGATTTGGGGTGGGGTGGTGTGTGGTTGGCAGTGTCATCGAGTGACTGGTTCGTTGTCATCAATGTGACGTTGTTGATGATTGGTAAAGGCGCAGCCACACTCACTGTAGGCTTTGCATCATCCCTCGTGTTGATGTGGGTCTTATTTAGCACGGTGCTGCGTCCTCACAACCATGCAAGTTGCCCCACATACATTTTGACTGCGATCGACTCTGTGAGTGGATCCGTGATTCACTGATTCAGTCAGTGAGTGGTTATATGCAGTGGTGTCTGATGCGGTTGTTGCTGAATGATCATGGTACTGATTGGTTTACCTGTGAGTTATTCGGAGGAGTGTGTGTCGTCGAGCCAGTTAGACAGGGATGATGGTGTTATGCTTTGTGATGGAAGTTGACGAGTGTTGAGTGAGCATTGTTGAAGGGATTTGTGGTTAGTGCCCATGACGAGATTTGGTGTTGATTTATGTGGGCATTGGAATCAGTGTGAGATTTTGCATCGGAAGAATTGATGTGAGGGTAGCAGATGTGCAGAATGTACAGTTTTGACCAGATGGGTGTAAGGAGAGATTAGTGACGACGTGTGCGATAGACAGGAATCGGATGTCAGAGGAAATACGAGGTGAGAGGACGGCGGAGTGTGTTGTTGTGCTAGTGGATGCACGTGTTTGTGTGTGCAGAGTTGTACTCGGAATCTGTTGAATGGGTGGAGGGAGAAGGTTATATGTATGGGAATTTATGGGTGCGTGTCTCGACTTCGGAGTCGCCTGGTGGGTTCGACGTTTAGCGGTATCGCAACCATCTTCGTGTGGGGAAATAACATCTGGTGCGCCTTTCTGGCGCTATAGTACAACTGGGGTTTAATAAGTGGATTTGATTAAACTGAGTAAATAAACTTCTAGCCCTCCTCCGGATGCTTTAGTTGTTTTATACTTTGTTTTAGCGAGCATGAATCCGAGCAGGCTTCAACACCATTTTGCGCTTCCTTAGCGCTGGTTAGCATGCACGTACTCAGAGTCCCTAACTCGGCTATACTAGTCAGATAAGTTGAATAAGCTTTTGCGACATTCAGTACCATTACATTTACTCTAACTAAATACATCACTTCTTCGAATATATTCCCGAACCAGTCCGTTTGATTTGTGTTTCGTTATCAGGACTTACACGTTGGGCAAGGTGCTGGTTAAGCAGTACTTGAGCAAATCAAGTTAAGTAGGGTTGGTCTAACGTTATGGAATATTGACACCCGCCTACAGATTCGACCTCGAGACTCAAAGGTATTTGGCCAATATTCACCGAGCTACTAAGCATATTGCAGAGCACTATGGTGGCTGCTGTAAACGTATGTCGAATCTAGCATGAACAAACAAAAATAGGTCGTTTCATCAGGAAGGTGATATATTGTTATCAGTATTATTTATTATTGTCTATACATTACATCTTGAAGTTTCAATGAACCCGGAGATGCATGTCCCTTGAAAATTACATTGAATCTGCCGTGGTACTTCACTCAATATATGTGATCCTTCAAATTAAAGCACTTGAGTAATTTGGCCAGCATTACATTTTACGAGTAAGGAATTGCTGAGTTACTCCCTCTTGTTTTTGAGTGATGGTTTTACATATTCACCAGGCATGACTATCATTTCTGCCAAATAACCTAAAAGCATAACAAAAATTCTACATTTAGATTAAGGTGAAGCATATGTATGTGGTGTGAAGTTTTCTTTCTTTCAGGCTGGGGATTTCCACAACCTGGAATGGAAAGGAGATGATAAAAAGTTTTTGTAAAAGAAAATATTACCGGAGATTTTCCACTAATTTTTATAGCCGTATCTGTAAAAGTGATATTCACCTGTAAATTCAGGAATAAATTATTATTATCTTCATGTTACAACAAGCTGAAATTTGGTAGAAAAAACAACAGCAAGAAAGAAGCAGGTTTGCAAGGAAGGAAACGTAACCACCTATTGATTGGAAGAAGGGCCACCTTGTCAATCTCCAAAGAAGGGAGACCTTAGACCTTGCAAGGACTAGAGAGGAATCATGCTGCTGTCCCTGTCCACCCCAAGCAAAATATTATGCCACAGCATCCTGGAGAGACTAAAGGATGCGTTGGATTCAAAATTACGACCATAACAGGCTGGCTGGCTGGCTTCAGGAAGTACAAATCATGTGCGGATCAAATTGCAACGCTACACTACGCATCATCAGAGAACACAGTATAGAATGGCAGTCTACTCTCTACCTCAACTTTATCACTTCGAAAAGGTCTTTGACACCGTCGACAGAGGAGTAACTTGGAAACTGCTTCAACCCTACGGAGTACCACAAACCTTTATCAACCTCATTCAACGACTATATGAAGACGCCACATGCCAAGTGATCCACAATGGAGAGCTCAGTGTCGCCTTTCAAATGAAGACAGGAGTAGGAGAAGACTGCCTACTATCACCCATGATCTTCTTGATTGGGGTGGACTGGATCATGCAGCAAGCTGTGAGGAGTGAGATGGGCATACGCTGGACCGATGATGATTTATGTCTACTGTCAAAAAAACAGAAAACTACAGGCAAAAACAAACAAGTTGACAGAAGAGGCGAGGCAGAGAAAACGGGACTTCAAGTAATGTAGATAAGACAGAGATGATGAAGATACCCAACGAACAACAGCATGAACAACGAGCACCAATAACCATAAACGGCAGAAACCTAACGGAAGTTATCTCTTTCTCATCTACCTAGGCAGCATCGTTTCAACTACAGGCGGTACAGACGGGTAAGTCAAAGACAGGGCCGGATAAGCAAGACAGGGTTTCATTAACCTGAAATCAGCGAGGCGACCTACTGCGCTAAGCATGAAACGTGAAGAAGACCCGGATCTTCAACACAAATGTCAGTTAAGTCAGTGCTCCCAGGTGATGGTTCAGAGACAAGATAAAAAGACTCTGCACTCCTACCTAAAATCTTACATCTGATTTCTGCAAAACTGACGCAGTGATACCATGACACATGTTTTATGCTACGGAGGCAACAGTGGTCGAACACCTGAAGCCTTCTCACTTCCTCTACCCCCAATATGTCCATGTTTCACAACCACATAGGAGAATAGGGTGAACTGTGGCGCAGCACACTTGGCCCTCATTGGGCTATCGAATATCACAGCAGTCCCATAAATGGCGTAGGTTGGTGAGAACCAAGCAAGCCTTTTGTATCCGTGTGGATATTTCGTCGGTCATTGACCTACTATGGCTTATCCGACTTCCCAGGCAAGTGAAGTGGTCAATGCACTCAACTATTTCCCTCCATAATGTTAGCAGGGCACCGTTGAAGACCAGTTCCCAAGTGTCAACTTATATTTGGGTGCAGAAAGCTGCATCACAAACATCCTCAAATTGCCACTAAAGTTTCCTGGGAGACTGGATCTCGTCAGCACCTTCACCTAACAGGAATGTGTCATCTGCGTATTCTAGATTCACTAAAGATTCGCCTGTGATAAGACCATTTCTTGTGAAGTCAGGTGACGAGAGAGACACTTCCATAGGCACGTCGATGGTGAGGTTTAATAAGAGTGGAGAGAGTAGACATACTTAACAGACACCACTCAACGTGCACAACTCACCATAGACTCTAACACGTCTACGGGTGCTCGAGTACAGAGCCTTCAACGGAGTGTTGCACTCACTTTGCATCACACTCAGCGAGCGGCACTGCCATAAGGTCTCTCGATCCAAGGAGTCAAATGCCGCCTTAAAGTCAAGAAATACAGCTAGTGTCGGGCGTCGCCACGTGTATCTATGTTCCAAAAACTAACGGAGGGCGAATAACCAGTCGATATAGTCACAACTAGATCTAAAGCTTGCTTGTTCTTCGCGGGTTTGCTGTTCCTAAGTTTAACCTTTGGACATAAATACTGTTTGTTCCCCATTATGGATATTATTTCGTTAATTGAGCGTCCAATAAATCAAACTGCAAAATGTTTTGTTGACGATGTCAAAGGTTTTTTAAACTATCCTATTGTAAATGCGCGGTGTGTGCAAGTTCAAACTTGAAACTGATTAGAATGTGCATTCGAATCACACTTATGCGAGTGTTGAGTTACGTAAACTGTCTTAAGAATTTTCCTGCTGCGAACTTGACAGACGCAGAGGCCAATCACTAATTATTCGAACTTGTTATGTACCCACGAATACGAGACCAAGAAAGAACACAACAGCGTAGTCAGATGGAATAGTATATTTGCGAGGTCGTGCCAAGATACCGATGCGTTCCAACTAGCTGGCTAGAGAGTCGATTACCAGCAGTGCAACGTAACACGGCAGCGTGCCAAATGGCGAGGATGCTTGACAGGGTGACTTCAGCTTAGTGAGTCCAGTTAAACTATCAAGGTCAGCATCAATGTTGAGTCTCGTCAAACCCTAGGCTGTTGATGTTGAAGAAGTGTGTGACGCCACACCGTCAAAATATTTGTTCAAAAGTGTGAAACAATAAGAGTAAGGACAATAATCATATGGGAAAAGGAATCAACTGTTAATCACGCATCAAAAGGCAAGGATGGCAATGGAAAAGGTGACAGAAATAAAATAAAAGACAAGGTGACAGATACCACTGTATGGGATGGGCAAAAAAACAACCAGAACACACACTTCCAAGTACATTAAAATATCAACTCCCACCATTCGGACAGCCAGGAAATATAAACCTTGCAAAAGTTTAATATGCTTTGTTTCTGCTTCACTTTTCATTACCTTTCACATAAGACTATATTACCTTCGCAGTTTCTTCCATTTTCCACACACCAAACGTTGTTTAACATTTAAGTCAACGCATATTCTTCAATAGATAATTTAAACCATCCCACAAACTGCAAAGTAGGACGTTTGAAGCCAAAATCCTTTGTTAAGTCGGACACAAGGCTTTCAGATCCAATAGTCCGTTACTTCTGTTTCTGGAAATATCAACATCAAGATCAATATAGGACCAGGTTTTACTGCGTTATGGTCCAAGTAGCCACACCTCATATCAGCACATCAAGTAACAAGATAATAAAACAAAAGATGTAGAAGGAAAGAAAAGTCGGCCAAAAGGAATAGAAAGTAGTAAAAGAGGAGAAGGAAGAATGAGATAGTGAGTTTGAGAATAGCGGTTCCGAGTCATATAACTTAAAGTCTCCAACCACTGGTTTCCCTTGTCCTGTGGACCCCAACCGGCCAGTCTGCATCGCCCTACATGGCTCGAACGGACGGTCAAGGACTTCAGGCATTGATGCCATGTTTTAGTCTGGATGTCCTGAGCCTTTTTCCAGCCTGAACATACTCTGGCCAACATTGTGTGATGAGGCAAACGTCGACTCAGCACGTGTAACACATGTCCGAGCCATCTCAGTAGATGGTGGTTGACAGCAGCACCAACTGACTTACTCTCCTCCATAAAACTTTACGCCTGACTTCTGCGTTACTTACATGGTGACACCACGAAACATGGCCTGTGCTACGAAGCCAGAGGTGGCCAAACACCTGAAGCCTTCTCATGTCTTCTACCTTCAATGGCCATGTTTCATGGCCATACAGTAGAACAGAGTGGACAGTAGCACAGTACACTTGACCCTTGATAAACAATCAGATATCGCGGTGGCGTCACAGATGGAGCAAGTTGGCATAAGCCAACTGAGCCTTTTGCATCCGTGCAGAGATTTCGTTGCTCATGCAATAAGAACGCTAGATTTCCAAGTGGTTAATCATGAGAACTTATCTGATCAATATCAAGTATCTGATAAATTCCCCTTTCATTCACTTAATAATCTAGCAACTAGTCTATGTAGGAGTAAAGAGAAGCAGAAATCCCATTCCTTTACCAGATTCGATTTAATATTCATTGGTGAGCTAACCCGTTTAAAAGTAGGAACTGAGGGCCGCGAAGCACAAAGATGCATATTCGCATGCTTTACTTGCACACCTGGTGACTGTAGCTTGAGTGGATTCACACAGATGCCAAAATTACGCGTGAAAAGTAAAATAAAACAGACCATTCAGACTAGCAGCTTTAAAAGATGTTTATGGAGATTAAGTCAAGTAAACAGGCTTTTCAAGGACATCATCCGAATCTCTATTGATAGCGATAATTATCCCAGGTAACTTCAATCTGATAAGCGGCAAAGGTAAAAAACTACTTACCCTCCTACAACGAATGTTTTGAAGCTGTTGTATAGCTTAAGAGCTGTATCTAAAGCAGCAAGAGAACGGACAAAGTCTGCCAGGAATTTCGGGACATTTTCGGCCTCCTCAAGAAGGCGCAACTTGACGTTTTTCTCTTCAGTCTGTGAAAGAGTACTTAGAATTATATCCTACTTTAACTCACATCAAACCGGAATTCTTTGTACACCTTTTCCAAAAGCTCTTCCTTGTGGCTCAAATTCAAGTTCTGTTCCCTAAGCTTTTGATGTAAGCTCTTGGCTATAAAGAATTATATGGAAAGCATGAGTACCAACAAATGTTTCTGCCTTTCTGCAATAAACAATTTACATCTAGGAACTTGCACAGCTGACAACTCATTAATTGCATCTCCAACCTCAGCTGCTGAAATTATAGCGTGAAAAATGCTTACCGAAAAACAGATTGTTCTTTTGAAACAAACTAACAATTTCCGACCATGCCTATCTTTAATTATTTTAGAAAACAGATCATACGCGGACCAGTGGACTCGAACGTCCAAAAAAGTCGGTCTTGTTGTCTGTTTGCGTTAAGATATCCAAGATATCTCTACATCCTAAATACAACGCTAAAGACGGCATTTATGTAGTAATATGCAATATTACATGAACTTTCAGAAATCTGTATGGATATATCTGAGTTTTTATTGATAATGTCATCGATTTTGCATTCAATCTCCCTTAGCTTCTTTGGGTAGTCTCGTTGTATCAAATTTCGAGATATTAACCATCCTGAAGTCGACTTTATTAAGTTTCACATCCTACCATTTATTTTAGAAGATTGGACGATCAAAGGACTGAGATGTTGCTGTTGATTAACGTCCTTCATTTTACAAGTTGTACACGTTTGCAACTGTTTCGACCTAGACATTTAGCAGGTTCAAACGAAATTTGGCCGAAATCTAATATCACCGGAGCGACTCGAAGAAACCTTCATCTTTCAGAACGTTACATCTTATTCTTAAGGTCTGATTCTTTTCGTTCGACTATATTCCTTCATTGGTGGCAGGAGTTTTGTGTTTTTCTTGCTTATAGCTTTGGAGGTAGTGATATACTTTTGGAAGGTAATTCTTCACAAATTACAGCTTGGTTTCTTTATGGGGGGTAATGTAGCTACTGATAAGGCCGGTTCACCTTTTGCAATTCCCTTCGAGTATGTATTAGGCATTACTTACAATGTAATGCTAGGGGAACCTCGCCTGGTTAACTAGCTCACTAGTTACTAGCCTGTCCTAAACCCGGATAAAGAGGGGAGGTTGGGCGTAGCGCTGGCAACCCTACCTCGTAAAATCAATCCAATCGCTGAAGAAACCTCAGAGCACAAGGAGGTTATAAAAATAAAAACGAACTTATTCCTCGCTGGAATCAGGGGGACGAAATGACACTGGTTGGTGAAGGCCTTCGGGAAGCCGGTCACCTGACGTGTCTTCTCTCTCTCGATGGAAGTGAAAGCAAGGATGGGAACGTGCAATGTCAGCACCATCTATTTACCTACCAGGGCTGGCCAGATTGTAGAAGAGATGAGGAGGTGTGGCATGGAAGTGCCTGGAGCCTGCGGAAGCAGATGGAATAGAAGTGGACTCTCCAAACTGTTAACTGGAAAGTCAATAATCTACTGCAATATTGTCACCTAGACAACAACCGCGAGCACATGGAGGGAGTGGCTATCATGATGTCTCCAAGACCATCGAAGGCTCATGCAGTGGGAAGAAATCTCCTGTGTGGCTACGATTGTAGGCGGGGTGTGTAAATATTCCGTAACGTTAGACCAACCCTACTTAACTTGATTTGCTCAAGTACTGCTTAACCAGCACCTTGCCCAACGTGTAAGTCCTGATAACGAAACACAAATCAAACGGACTGGTTCGGGAATATATTCGAAGAAGTGATGTATTTAGTTAGAGTAAATGTAATGGTACTGAATGTCGCAAAAGCTTATTCAACTTATCTGACTAGTATAGCCGAGTTAGGGACTCTGAGTACGTGCATGCTAACCAGCGCTAAGGAAGCGCAAAATGGTGTTGAAGCCTGCTCGGATTCATGCTCGCTAAAACAAAGTATAAAACAACTAAAGCATCCGGAGGAGGGCTAGAAGTTTATTTACTCAGTTTAATCAAATCCACTTATTAAACCCCAGTTGTACTATAGCGCCAGAAAGGCGCACCAGATGTTATTTCCCCACAAGAAGGTTGTTGGTATGCCGGCAACCTTCAACTTAGGGGGTGACTGAGAGGCAGACACGCAACACCTTCCAGTATCGGTGATGGAGTAGGTGACATCTGGGTCTCCGAATCTAGTGCAAGTGTGAACACCTACGGGGCAAGAGAACTTTGAGCCTAGACGTAACCTTTCTCGCAGTGATGGAAAATGACCCAGAACCTCCGTCTACTTTTCCCTGTCGATTCTTTATCTACCGGAGTGTGTGCAAGGGGATATTGGTGCAATGATAAACCGTGGAACGATCCAAGTAGCATCGTTGCGGTCCAAATGTATCGAATTTTCAGTGCATTCCCTGGATTCTGTAAGAAGAGAAATAGAGAACACTAGCGTGCTAGGAAAAGAAAAAGCAAACAAATACCGATGGCAAGGCGAGTACAGCAAAAAAGTATTGGCCAACCAAAAAAATGTTTTAGAATTTTTATTGTACTTTTGAGCTTTTAAATTTTTTATTTTTCTTTTCTTAAGTCGTGGGCAAAATCTTGAAAACTTTACGCGCGCAAATGCAATGTTGGTGCAAGCAAGGATTAAATAGTTGCACTTCCGAAGTTAGTGTGAGAATTTGAGCTGGGGCTTAATAACGAAATCGGTATATCGTTTGAGCCAGTACACTCGTCCCCCAATGCGGATGGAAGGTAGCTGTCAACGTATCATAGAAGTGTCTGTTGTTTCTGCGCTCACTCTCCTTTACGTCTTTGTCCAGTGTTTTACACGTTGTACTCAGTTCTTCTTTTCGTTGTGCGTCTTTGCACTGGTTCATCTTCTGCTTCACCGACCCCATCCCCTTCTCCTTCGCCAGTTCCCATGCAGAGATCTGGGGAGATTCATTCTTCTTATCGTTTCTTCTTCCGTCCTAATACGCCTGCGTGGGTTTCCTTCCACGTCTCTTTGAGGGAGTTCTTGTGTTCTTCCAAGTAGTTTACTTCGGGGCTGTTGCTCAGTGTCTCCTATTTTTTTCTGGCGGCTGATTGACGTGAAGATGTCATTTCTAGCTTCGTCTTTCAGCTCATGACCTGCGCTGGGTGTTGAACTTGAGTTGTGGTCCACCATCAGCTCCTTTAAAGGCTTTTAACTTGATTTCGCGGGTAGGTTCCCTGCACTAGATAGTGAGTGGTGCAAACCTACGTCTAATCCTTTTCTTGATCGTTTGTTCAATAGGCTGTCTCCACCTTCTTCAGATTGAGGTGAAGTCGATATGATTTTCAGTGTGTCCGGTGTCTGATGAAATCCATGTCGCTTCGTGAATATCCTTCTGTTTCTACACGCTGCTCCAGTCACCAAATCGTTGAGTACGCAGAAATCTGCAAACAGTTCTCCGTTCTGATTAATTTCACCCAATGATCCACGACCCACAGTTAGTTCCCTTCCTGTGTTGTCTACTCTCAGCCTGGCATCCGTGTCCCCATTTGAACTTTCATGTCTTCATCTGGCGTGGCGTCAAGTCCATCAATGTTTGCAGTTGTCTCCAGAATTCTTCCTTCTTCTCTTGGCCTCGATTATTTATAGGTGAGCAGCATAATGCAGCACTGCATAGTTGTGATTTTCCTTTATTTTGGATTGAATCTTGCTGGCATGATCGCGTAGTCCGCGTAACTGGCGCCAAAATACAAGTGGGGCTTAAATAAGTGGATTTGATTAAACTGAGTAAATAAACTTCTAGCCCTCCTCCGGATGCTTTAGTTGTTTTATACTTTGTTTTAGCGAGCATGAATCCGAGCAGGCTTCAACACCATTTTGCGCTTCCTTAGCGCTGGTTAGCATGCACGTACTCAGAGTCCCTAACTCGGCTATACTAGTCAGATAAGTTGAATAAGCTTTTGCGACATTCAGTACCATTACATTTACTCTAACTAAATACATCACTTCTTCGAATATATTCCCGAACCAGTCCGTTTGATTTGTGTTTCGTTATCAGGACTTACACGTTGGGCAAGGTGCTGGTTAAGCAGTACTTGAGCAAATCAAGTTAAGTAGGGTTGGTCTAACGTTACGGAATATTTACACACCCCGCCTACAATCGTAGCCACACAGGAGATTTCTTCCCACTGCATGAGCCTTCGATGGTCTTGGAGACATCATGATAGCCACTCCCTCCATGTGCTCGCGGTTGTTGTCTAGGTGACAATATCGCAGTAGATTATTGACTTTCCAGTTAACAGTTTGGAGAGTCCACTTCTATTCCATCTGCTTCCGCAGGCTCCAGGCACTTCCATGCCACACCTCCTCATCTCTTCTACAATCTGGCCAGCCCTGGTAGGTAAATAGATGGTGCTGACATTGCACGTTCCCATCCTTGCTTTCACTTCCATCGAGAGAGAGAAGACACGTCAGGTGACCGGCTTCCCGAAGGCCTTCACCAACCAGTGTCATTTCGTCCCCCTGATTCCAGCGAGGAATAAGTTCGTTTTTATTTTTATAACCTCCTTGTGCTCTGAGGTTTCTTCAGCGATTGGATTGATTTTACGAGGTAGGGTTGCCAGCGCTACGCCCAACCTCCCCTCTTTATCCGGGTTTAGGACAGGCTAGTAACTAGTGAGCTAGTTAACCAGGCGAGGTTCCCCTAGCATTACATTGTAAGTAATGCCTAATACATACTCGAAGGGAATTGCAAAAGGTGAACCGGCCTTATCAGTAGCTACATTACCCCCCATAAAGAAACCAAGCTGTAATTTGTGAAGAATTACCTTCCAAAAGTATATCACTACCTCCAAAGCTATAAGCAAGAAAAACACAAAACTCCTGCCACCAATGAAGGAATATAGTCGAACGAAAAGAATCAGACCTTAAGAATAAGATGTAACGTTCTGAAAGATGAAGGTTTCTTCGAGTCGCTCCGGTGATATTAGATTTCGGCCAAATTTCGTTTGAACCTGCTAAATGTCTAGGTCGAAACAGTTGCAAACGTGTACAACTTGTAAAATGAAGGACGTTAATCAACAGCAACATCTCAGTCCTTTGATCGTCCAATCTTCTAAAATAAATGGTAGGATGTGAAACTTAATAAAGTCGACTTCAGGATGGTTAATATCTCGAAATTTGATACAACGAGACTACCCAAAGAAGCTAAGGGAGATTGAATGCAAAATCGATGACATTATCAATAAAAACTCAGATATATCCATACAGATTTCTGAAAGTTCATGTAATATTGCATATTACTACATAAATGCCGTCTTTAGCGTTGTATTTAGGATGTAGAGATATCTTGGATATCTTAACGCAAACAGACAACAAGACCGACTTTTTTGGACGTTCGAGTCCACTGGTCCGCGTATGATCTGTTTTCTAAAATAATTAAAGATAGGCATGGTCGGAAATTGTTAGTTTGTTTCAAAAGAACAATCTGTTTTTCGGTAAGCATTTTTCACGCTATAATTTCAGCAGCTGAGGTTGGAGATGCAATTAATGAGTTGTCAGCTGTGCAAGTTCCTAGATGTAAATTGTTTATTGCAGAAAGGCAGAAACATTTGTTGGTACTCATGCTTTCCATATAATTCTTTATAGCCAAGAGCTTACATCAAAAGCTTAGGGAACAGAACTTGAATTTGAGCCACAAGGAAGAGCTTTTGGAAAAGGTGTACAAAGAATTCCGGTTTGATGTGAGTTAAAGTAGGATATAATTCTAAGTACTCTTTCACAGACTGAAGAGAAAAACGTCAAGTTGCGCCTTCTTGAGGAGGCCGAAAATGTCCCGAAATTCCTGGCAGACTTTGTCCGTTCTCTTGCTGCTTTAGATACAGCTCTTAAGCTATACAACAGCTTCAAAACATTCGTTGTAGGAGGGTAAGTAGTTTTTTACCTTTGCCGCTTATCAGATTGAAGTTACCTGGGATAATTATCGCTATCAATAGAGATTCGGATGATGTCCTTGAAAAGCCTGTTTACTTGACTTAATCTCCATAAACATCTTTTAAAGCTGCTAGTCTGAATGGTCTGTTTTATTTTACTTTTCACGCGTAATTTTGGCATCTGTGTGAATCCACTCAAGCTACAGTCACCAGGTGTGCAAGTAAAGCATGCGAATATGCATCTTTGTGCTTCGCGGCCCTCAGTTCCTACTTTTAAACGGGTTAGCTCACCAATGAATATTAAATCGAATCTGGTAAAGGAATGGGATTTCTGCTTCTCTTTACTCCTACATAGACTAGTTGCTAGATTATTAAGTGAATGAAAGGGGAATTTATCAGATACTTGATATTGATCAGATAAGTTCTCATGATTAACCACTTGGAAATCTAGCGTTCTTATTGCATGAGCAACGAAATCTCTGCACGGATGCAAAAGGCTCAGTTGGCTTATGCCAACTTGCTCCATCTGTGACGCCACCGCGATATCTGATTGTTTATCAAGGGTCAAGTGTACTGTGCTGCTGTCCACTCTGTTCTACTGTATGGCCATGAAACATGGCCATTGAAGGTAGAAGACATGAGAAGGCTTCAGGTGTTTGGCCACCTCTGGCTTCGTAGCACAGGCCATGTTTCGTGGTGTCACCATGTAAGTAACGCAGAAGTCAGGCGTAAAGTTTTATGGAGGAGAGTAAGTCAGTTGGTGCTGCTGTCAACCACCATCTACTGAGATGGCTCGGACATGTGTTACACGTGCTGAGTCGACGTTTGCCTCATCACACAATGTTGGCCAGAGTATGTTCAGGCTGGAAAAAGGCTCAGGACATCCAGACTAAAACATGGCATCAATGCCTGAAGTCCTTGACCGTCCGTTCGAGCCATGTAGGGCGATGCAGACTGGTCGGTTGGGGTCCACAGGACAAGGGAAACCAGTGGTTGGAGACTTTAAGTTATATGACTCGGAACCGCTATTCTCAAACTCACTATCTCATTCTTCCTTCTCCTCTTTTACTACTTTCTATTCCTTTTGGCCGACTTTTCTTTCCTTCTACATCTTTTGTTTTATTATCTTGTTACTTGATGTGCTGATATGAGGTGTGGCTACTTGGACCATAACGCAGTAAAACCTGGTCCTATATTGATCTTGATGTTGATATTTCCAGAAACAGAAGTAACGGACTATTGGATCTGAAAGCCTTGTGTCCGACTTAACAAAGGATTTTGGCTTCAAACGTCCTACTTTGCAGTTTGTGGGATGGTTTAAATTATCTATTGAAGAATATGCGTTGACTTAAATGTTAAACAACGTTTGGTGTGTGGAAAATGGAAGAAACTGCGAAGGTAATATAGTCTTATGTGAAAGGTAATGAAAAGTGAAGCAGAAACAAAGCATATTAAACTTTTGCAAGGTTTATATTTCCTGGCTGTCCGAATGGTGGGAGTTGATATTTTAATGTACTTGGAAGTGTGTGTTCTGGTTGTTTTTTTGCCCATCCCATACAGTGGTATCTGTCACCTTGTCTTTTATTTTATTTCTGTCACCTTTTCCATTGCCATCCTTGCCTTTTGATGCGTGATTAACAGTTGATTCCTTTTCCCATATGATTATTGTCCTTACTCTTATTGTTTCACACTTTTGAACAAATATTTTGACGGTGTGGCGTCACACACTTCTTCAACATCAACAGCCTAGGGTTTGACGAGACTCAACATTGATGCTGACCTTGATAGTTTAACTGGACTCACTAAGCTGAAGTCACCCTGTCAAGCATCCTCGCCATTTGGCACGCTGCCGTGTTACGTTGCACTGCTGGTAATCGACTCTCTAGCCAGCTAGTTGGAACGCATCGGTATCTTGGCACGACCTCGCAAATATACTATTCCATCTGACTACGCTGTTGTGTTCTTTCTTGGTCTCGTATTCGTGGGTACATAACAAGTTCGAATAATTAGTGATTGGCCTCTGCGTCTGTCAAGTTCGCAGCAGGAAAATTCTTAAGACAGTTTACGTAACTCAACACTCGCATAAGTGTGATTCGAATGCACATTCTAATCAGTTTCAAGTTTGAACTTGCACACACCGCGCATTTACAATAGGATAGTTTAAAAAACCTTTGACATCGTCAACAAAACATTTTGCAGTTTGATTTATTGGACGCTCAATTAACGAAATAATATCCATAATGGGGAACAAACAGTATTTATGTCCAAAGGTTAAACTTAGGAACAGCAAACCCGCGAAGAACAAGCAAGCTTTAGATCTAGTTGTGACTATATCGACTGGTTATTCGCCCTCCGTTAGTTTTTGGAACATAGATACACGTGGCGACGCCCGACACTAGCTGTATTTCTTGACTTTAAGGCGGCATTTGACTCCTTGGATCGAGAGACCTTATGGCAGTGCCGCTCGCTGAGTGTGATGCAAAGTGAGTGCAACACTCCGTTGAAGGCTCTGTACTCGAGCACCCGTAGACGTGTTAGAGTCTATGGTGAGTTGTGCACGTTGAGTGGTGTCTGTTAAGTATGTCTACTCTCTCCACTCTTATTAAACCTCACCATCGACGTGCCTATGGAAGTGTCTCTCTCGTCACCTGACTTCACAAGAAATGGTCTTATCACAGGCGAATCTTTAGTGAATCTAGAATACGCAGATGACACATTCCTGTTAGGTGAAGGTGCTGACGAGATCCAGTCTCCCAGGAAACTTTAGTGGCAATTTGAGGATGTTTGTGATGCAGCTTTCTGCACCCAAATATAAGTTGACACTTGGGAACTGGTCTTCAACGGTGCCCTGCTAACATTATGGAGGGAAATAGTTGAGTGCATTGACCACTTCACTTGCCTGGGAAGTCGGATAAGCCATAGTAGGTCAATGACCGACGAAATATCCACACGGATACAAAAGGCTTGCTTGGTTCTCACCAACCTACGCCATTTATGGGACTGCTGTGATATTCGATAGCCCAATGAGGGCCAAGTGTGCTGCGCCACAGTTCACCCTATTCTCCTATGTGGTTGTGAAACATGGACATATTGGGGGTAGAGGAAGTGAGAAGGCTTCAGGTGTTCGACCACTGTTGCCTCCGTAGCATAAAACATGTGTCATGGTATCACTGCGTCAGTTTTGCAGAAATCATTTGTAGAATTTCAGGAAAGGGGGCATTCAGTTGGTGAGGTTGTGTAGCTTCTGTGACAGTTGCCTTTGTTGTTTTACGTACTCCTAGTCACCGTCTGGTGTGTCGCATAATGTTAGGTAAAATAAGTTTATGTTCGAAAAACGGTTAGAGACACTCATACTAAGATGTGGAATCAGTCGGTAAATTCTCTAACTGCTGATGTGTGGCATGTATAGGAGTGTAAGCGTGGCGGTTGGAGTCCACATGATAACAGAAACCAGTGTTTGCGGACTCTAGGTAATATTACTCAAAACTTATCTCAGTGGGGCATTCGTGTCCATAAATTCCTCTCTTTTTATTATTCATGCTGGGTTCAGTACTTTCTTCCTTCTCCTTACCATCTTATCTTGACTTTTTACGACTTCTGACTGGCTTCTTTCATCTTGATGCTTTATCGTGTGATGTGCTGATATGGATGGTATGGCGACCTGCACCATTACTCTGTAATGCCTGGTCTTATATTGGTCTCGTCTGTTTGTTAAAGGCTGTTCTAGTCACAACGATATGATTGCAGCTACAGCAGTTTTGACAGTGAATAATGACAACAAAAGCAGAACCCGTCTGAGTAATCACCAAATTTGAACAAGGCCGCTCACTCGTATTTAGGTTGCTTGAATTTTACAAACTGGTTAGGTAAGATAACTAGTGACAACTATGTCACTAGTACTCTGTCACTCAGGTTTTAAATTCATATATCCCTCGAGTTTGTAGCCAGCAAACAGTAAGGCCATAATTTGTTGTTCCGAGTATTTGCTTAGCATCCAAAAACTACAACCAATTAGGCCTAGATAACCGTGTATCACAATGAGCCTCAACCCGTCTGTTGTAGCCTGTAACTTATTACTTGGATAGCAAAACTTCGTGGATAGGATTTCTATCATCATCAGTGCCTTTTTCCATCTCCCTTTGGTGTTAAACGTAGTAGATTTGGTGGCTTCAAGATCAATACTAGTGGAACGGAATAAATACTTTGAAAATCCCTCCTGAACAGTCTGTTTGACAGTATTGACATTTATTTCGATATTTTCACCCTCATTATAGAATTTATGCTTTAACCCTAACCAATATATTTTTTTCATTTGCTCGTCTTCTTTGACTTAACACTCATCATTTGTCTTTCGTTTGATGGAGGATTTTCCCTAGTGCTTCTTTTTTCTGTTGTGGGATGGTGTGCTGTCGACAGAATGACGTTGTTTTGCTTTCCTAGACAATTCATTTTGGCTCAACTTAGAGTTGCACTGTGAATTGACTGCTTGTCTTTTGACTTTCTACCGGAAACGTTTATCGACTGATTTGATTCTTGTTGACAGAGTGTCGATCCCATTTTGTTGTGAATATCATTATTGATCCTCAGGTACTCAACAATTGTATTTGGTTAATCAATTTCTTGCTGTATAGTACTTATTCTGTGACAGAGAACGTTTTGGACTGCATAGTTGGCCAGCGGCATTGTTGAGGTACTTTTGTAAATTTGAGATAACTTGTTGGCGTTTAATAGTACCACGGATGTATTACAAATCTATCACAGAGTTACCACGTCAAATCGTGTTTTCATATTGTTGAAAAATAATCCTCGACTGTGTGTGGCTCAAAGAAGTTCGGGAAACTAAACGGTAGAGGGCAGTAAATTGTCTGGATCGCTTTAGGTTGATCCTGTCGGATTTTTTCCTGCGTTCAGACCGAAATAATTGGATTTTAGACGTTGAAACTGGTTAGAGAAACTTTCTATGTTTATCACAGTTGGATTTCTGATCACCTTTATATAGTGAAACTGAAATTCGTTAATGAAGGAATAAGTGTGCCTGAAAAACAGTGATGGTTGAGAAGGTTGGCCGTCCGTGCGACACATGTATGCACTAACTAGTGGCATTCTTGTATCATTTTGTTGCGTAGAAATTTCAGAATCACTGGTAACCAGCTCCCGTCAACATTCCATAAGTATTCACCCGTAGGCGTTCTTTCTGCGTCGACAAGTTTCTCAACTCTTTATTTCTTACAGACTTTTGTGTCTCCGTTCCTCCAGCTATGGCTTTTATCCCTGCCTTAAGTGTAGGGTCCGACTTTTGAAGGCGAACTAGTTTTAATGGGTCCGGTTCTACTTCATGTACACCGTATGCTATCGCAGGTAGTTCATTTTCTTCGTCTGATCTTGTTTAGAAGTCTGTCAACCAGTTTTCTTTCCCCACCATGTGACCGATTGTGAAGTCGTACTCTTTCAGCCGTAACATTCAACGTGATAATTTTCCTCTAGTGTCTCTCGCTGTCTTAAACCACTGTAGAGGTTTGTGGTCAGTTTGAATATGGAATCGTTGACCAAGGTCGTACGATCTCCATTTCTCAAGTGCCCAAAGTATCGCCAGACATTCCTTTTGAACCGTGGAATATTTCTATTCTGCATATTTCAGGACGCGGCTGGCATACTCCACTACTCCTTCAGTCTGTCTCAGAACTGCACCTATCCCATAATCACTCGCATCGGTGGACATGATAAATAACCTGCCGGGTATTGGTACTTGTAAAGTCGTCTCCTGGTCGCTTAGGGGTTCCTTGATGTGATCAAACGTTTTCTGTGCCTCCTCTGTCTACGTAAATTTGGGGTTACCAAGTTGCTTATGCAAATGTGCTGCTACCTCATTGAACTTTTTGAGGAACCGACTGTAGAATGCTGCTCTACCCAAGAACTGTCGCAGTTTCCTCTTGGAATTCGGTACTGGAGTAGTTCTAACCACCAGAATTTTCTCAGGTGGTTTTATTTCACCGTTTACAACTTTATGTCCCAGCAGTGTAACACTCTTCTTGGCTACCCGAGATTTTGTCTTATTGATGCGAAGTCCAAACTCGTCAATGCGTCTCAAACAGCTTCCATCGGTTCTAGATGTTCTGCTTCCGTCCGACTGTACACCACCAGGTCATCACCGTATACCTCTGCGTTCTCTAAATTCTTCAGCCACAACATCATCAACCGTCTAAATGTAAATGACGCGCCTGCAAGACCAAATGGCATTCGTTTGAATTGGTATTGCTTCTTGCCCACAATAAATACTGTTTTCTCTTTATCGCTTTCTTTTATTGGTAGCTGCCAGTAGCCTGAGCGGAGGTTCAGAACTGTAAATAATTTTGCATTCTGCAAACGATCCAGTGTTTTAGCTACCGTCGGCATGGCACACGGCTTCAGTTGCGTTGTGCTATTTAACTCTTGGAGATCAAAGCAGAATCTATATTTCCCATTGGATTTTCTCACTAAAAGTACTGACGAACTATGCGCTATCAGCTTCTTCAATAATCCCTTCATTTAGCATTTGCTGAACCTAACATCCAACTTCTTCCAAGTGATATGGTATTCGCCGTGTTATAAATGCTGTCATTGCTTGGCTTGTCACTGGGATTTCATGCTGAACCTTGTCACAGTATCCGCAGGGGTCTCCATCTCCCGTGAACAATCTATCATATTTCTTAACCAACTTCCTAATGTTTTAGAGCTTCTGGGTGTGGTGCTTTTGATACCTTAATCTCTGCTACGTCGTTTTCCTGCATTGTGGACGACTCGTTCTTTGTCGCCACTATTGTTGTTCTCGTGTTGATAACTGCACCTGCTGGACTGTCCGTTGTAGACGTGTGGTCACAATGAATGAAAATCTAACTTCCCACTTCAGATCTCGACGACACAATTTGATAAACCTGCTATTTCTAATGCATGTCTCCCACCCGTGTGGACGGTTAGTGGACATAGTCTTATGTTCTGAAACTGACTCTTATCTGATAGCGAGACTGCCGCCCCCGTACCTATTAGATATAATCTCCTGATCATTTATTTGGATTCTAGCATACACAGCACCTCGATTCATGGCTCCCACGATATCTAGTCTAGTCGGAAAACGGAACTCATATTAAATCGTTGAAAACCTTTTATTTTTCGCCTCTCTGAACATTTTCTTCGCCAGTGTCCTAGTTTTTCGCATGCAAAGCATTTACTCCGTCGATATTCATTCAAAGTGCAGCCACCTCTTCCTGGAGGTTATTAATTTATTTTTTTCAGTTATTTACCTCTGGTGGTTGCACTGCGGCTACTCCTGTACCCATCAACTGTCTGGTCACCTTGGCCATCTCACCAGTATCCATGGGTTGGGCCACGTTGACTAGTCGTAGCTGCTGGGCGATGGCATTCGGGACACTTTCAGTGGACTGTGCAGCCAGCAACTGCACCTGCGACTCCTCATCGAACGTGGGAAGTGCTCGTCAGAGGTGTTTAGTCAACTTCACAGCCAATATCAGCGGATCTTCGTCTATTCCAAGTCTCGTTCTCCGGAACTGCTGTATCGCCAGCTCCCTTTCCGCAGGGCTGTCCAACTCCGCCTCCAGGCGTTCAACTATTCTCTGTCAAGTCTCCTCCCCATCCCCACGTTCCACGCCATCACATACTGCTTTCGTCTTACCTTTGAGCACAGTGCCAAGCACCACAACCGTCGCTCTTGTATCCCGAACACCTGCCAGGTCCGCGACCGAGTCCAAGTCCCTGAAAAAGACCTTGGTGTTTCCATCCTCGAACACTGCAGGCCACGGAATCGTCATCACATCCAAAAGCAGCAAAACCAATTGAAGGAAGCCCGAAGGCAGAGACGGAGGAAGGAATGTTTATTGTTAACGCGTGGCACTAGGACTGCCATTTGCAAAGTGTGCTACATTTTCTTTTGTTCTTCTCTCTTGGTTTGCTCTTAATGCACCCGCGTTGTCTTTTGCGTTTATCTGGGCAGATTCCCCACCTATTGCTAGTAGTTGCCTGCGATTTATGCCGTCCTCTCGACATATACTACTTATATCCATTCTGATCAGCAGCGCCCACTACAATACTACCTGGCTGTCCATACCTCATTAGGTTGAGCGGTGTTCGGACACGCAACCCACTGGTTGGAACTTAACTCTTTAAACCAATGAGTCACAACTCCACAAGGAGAACTTCATCAAGTTATGAAAATTTCGCTAGTGTCTGCAATGACATCGAGCAACTGTAATACGAATTTGTAAAAGTAGTGATAAACGGAGACTTTAAACTTCTAGTCGAAACACCCAAGAAAGACAAGTCCGCTGCTTTCAACAAATCTAGAAAACCAATTAAGAAGTTCAACGAATTTTGAACTTCAGGATCGATATTTGACCTGATAGAGTTGAATAGTTTGAGCACTTTTTTCCCGACAAATTGGTGGAGGGAAAATACCCCACAAAGTAAAACGAATCCACAAACGAGACACCACCAGCCACCAATCAAACAAAGTAGCTGATCAGTATCTCAACTGAAACCCAAAGATAGCTGTCATATCTAGCATAAAGGAAGTGACATTAGGTTTAATAGATAAGATGACTACTAATCAGGTCCACTCACAATACTCAGTAATACTAAAACAGCAAAAGGAAGTGAAGTGATAACTAAATAAAGGTGGGGATTCAGGCACTCAGAAATTTAAGATGTCTGATGAAGACACCTTGACAGTTTCTTATGAATAAGGTGGGTTACCTAAAAGAAACGAGTGATTATAAGTAAAGTGAACGATGAGAATGAATTGAGAAACCTTTAGACGAACTTATAAACCAGATTAAGAATTTCACAGGTGATGTAATATCCAGAATGAAGCAATATCTGGGTGAGTTCCATTGGTTGCTTGAATCTGAAAATCTATTTTGAATGTATGGTACCATTGAGATTCATATTATACGGATAGTTAACTTCAGGAACGCACCATTCTCTGAGTTATTGAAATACTTGCCTGAAATATTATTTCTGTTAGAAATTGCCTAAGTTCTGGGTTAACCGTTTTTTAGGTAAGAGAGGCACTATATAATATACCACTAGAGAGTGCAGAAAAAAGTATGGTGAGGTTAAATGTAAGTATCCCAATTAAGATGGTACTACAGGGAGTTGTAAATGAGCTCAACACTGGCAATGAACTCAACATTTGAATTAGGGTTTCGGTGGAAGAAATTGTGCTGAGTGTACGGATGTATCTGACTTCCAGTTTTTATACCCCGAGAGAGAATATACAAACAGACAAAAGCAGTGGCAGTGAGATCTCCAATATTTCTAACTGCGACCAACATTATTAACAATAGTGTCTAGACCATTCGACCGTCCATCCTGTTATCTGCTTAATTACATTTGGGTGACTCGAATCTTTTATTATTTTTGGATATTATGGGAAAGTGAAATATTTTGAGGTACAACACAAAGCAAGGATAGTTTTATCACTTAAATGAGACAATGGATTTTAACTTGTAAGTTAGATGCATAGCAGATCATCTTGGGTAATCTTTTGTAAGAACTTATTTCTCACTGATTTTGAGTTGTATATTCGCGGTATGATTAAATAATATGTCAAATCTTAATGTACTCCCTTTTAATTGGTAAAATCACTGCATTCTGAAGAATCGAAAGTAATTGGAAAAATGTGATTGTTATTTAAAATCCATTTCATGATTAGTTACTGAGCTATTTGTCAGACCAATTATGCGATATTTGGTAGTGCTATTTTACTGTTTAGACCTCGTCGGTTTTCATAAATTTCAAAATTATGAAAAGCGAGTTAAAAAATTGGTACTCTAACCAATGAGCTATCCATAATTCGATTGCATTGTACCATGATTGTCACTGATGACTCAGTATTACGAATTTGGTATATTCACTATTTGGTCATTTAACTGTAATTTGAGTTTATAGTTTACCTAACTGATTTTGTACTGAACATTTAATAATGGTGGATATCACTTAGTTTCCAGGATAACAATAAACCAGAGAAGAAGTCATTCGAATGTTGTCCAACCCTTCAGTTACTAATCAATTCAGGCCATGTACTGGTGTTTACATGGAAGAATGGATATAAACCTGAACATGTTAAAGAAAGTGATGACTTTATCCCTCTTTTGTTACAACACGAGAGAACAAGATTGAAACAATCATCAATAGAAATCAAGAAAAGTGAACTTGCAGAAAGTCCCCCTTCTGAGCCAAATGAAGTAAGTTTATTCTGTGCAGTTTGCTACGCTTTATCTCTTAAAAGATTGCAAAATTTCGACATTGAAATCTGATTTACTTGAATTAAGTAGGTTTAGTATGGTAGTCTAAGACTCTGTATATTAGTTATGTTTACATTTAATTTTGTATACAAAATCATCATAGATTGAAATTACAGAATAGGTACAGTTACGTACAATGGCACACAGAATTTCTTCATTTTACGTGAGCACACTTCAAAGAATACTTGTTAGAAGTCACTGGAACAAGAAAATGAAGTTTGTCTAAAGTGCGATATATGAGAGCTAATCAAAACAAATGAGGGTGTTCAAGATCACAATAAAAAGGTATTAAGTGGATCTTTTTTTATCATTCTGATCAACCTTAGATCTTACCACGAAGATTCTTCAACGACTGATTTAGAGTGTGTTTCAGAGCCCAGTCAGAAGGTCTATAGGATAAACATCTCAAATATTTGATGTAACTCAACCTGGTACTTGTTTATTTACTATACTATAAGCCACAATTGTCGTATGGGGGCTAATGCTACTGCTCCGTTTCTGGGGCAGAAGCAGACGGAGTAGGACTTAAACCCGATGCTTGAATATCAAATCGGTGAGCCACATCCACATAAGACTGGAAGTAACAACTATTTATTGATTTACCGTTTTTATACTGGATCGAATTGATCGACCTCTGTTGGCATATGAAGGCTCCTATGCTGATTCTTCGATATTGCCTGAATATTTATTATTATTACTTAATTGGTTGCGGCTAGTAGAGGAAGGAAGTGCAGATACATCCAACTGATGAGTCCCAAATATGATGAGGTGCGCATCCTGGATTCCTCTGCTAGCAGCATCCAGTTAAGTTACGATAAATATTCAGGCAATATCGAGGCACCCGCACAGGAACCCACATGCCAACAGAAGCTGATCAATTCGATCCGGTATAACGACGGAGAATTACAAGTAGTAATAACTAATGATCGTTGTACAAGAGGTGGATATCGTGCCTCAGTGGCCTAGTGGATAGCGCCTTGGCATTCGAAGTGAGGGGCACGAAGTTCGAGTATCAGTGGAAGTAACACCACTTTCTGGGGTGCGCAGGTACGTCCAGCTGACGAGTCCAAAATGAGACTAAATGCGCGTCCTGGATTCCTCTGCTAGTCACAACCAATTAAATTAAAACCACTGTAGACTACTTGTAATTGACCAGTGACCTGTTGACTTGAATAGCTAATTATGAGGTATTTGGTTCTCATTTTCAGGTCTAATTTGCTAAAGTAGGCAAATATAAAACAATTCCTATTATTTCTCTCAATAAAAGACGAATAAAATGAAAATGTATTCCTCATTCTTACTTTGTAATTTTGTATGACGTATATACTGGATGAACACGTGATTTGATGACTGGAATTACATACTTTCGTATGCCATGTAAATTTTGTTTCCTTTATGCAACTTAGTAACATTTTACAGATTGATGTAAAAGTTATCAATTTATTTTACTGAGTATCCAAGACCAAATATGGTGTAATTATTGTCCGAGTCATTTATTTACATCAGTCAGTTGTACTTCTGTATTTTTGAATTTGTAAGGTATTTGCCAACAATTCGGAACAAATCGCTTAAGATCTTTAACTTTTTGTTTCAAAAGCATATGTCATACGGAAGATTTCCTTCATACTCCACATCTTTATGGAAGATCCAACTTGAAAAGGGAATATTTTAAAGTTATTATTTCACTTTTACCCTGATGACAGAATACAGTAGTGTTTTTTGAATATTGTAGATTTACATTGACTAATCCCACTTGCTCCACTGTGTCGTTGATATCATCTTTTGAGCGTTTATAGTGGTAGCGCATGCCGCTTGGTCATGTTTGGAATGGAGTTATATCATGAGAAATATCACAGTTGGGCAAATATTTTTGAACAGAGAAGCTGAATCAGTTAATAGGTTTGTAAATGTACACCAACTGGGACAAGTGTTACACATGCTGAGCTACCGTCTGCCGCCATATATAATGCTCATCCATCCAGGACTAGGCCGGAAAGAAACTAAGGACAAGCAGTCTGAAAAGTGGAACTAATCTAGGATCACTGATCACTTTGGTTTTGTAGCCAAAGTCCTGGAAACATCACGAAGTAATGAATGCAATCCCTTATTAAAAAGGACTCAGATTCGATCGCGATCAGTCAGATTTATTCCCACTCACCCTGCTGCTCCTCCCTTCATTGTGCTTCCTACATTATCGTTCTTCTTGTTTATCTTAATATCTGTTTATTCCATGCAAGTTTTGGCGAAGCTGTCACTAATTAAGTTCAAAAATATTGGACACCGAGTAGAAAGGTGACATACGTGACGCATATTTCTGTCAATTTTGGCTTGTTTAAGCATAAAATGCTCCAGTTTTATTTGGTATTTCTGTCTCTAATTCTTCAGGATAACTATCGAACATCTTGGTTGTATTGTGTTCTCTGAGCTGGGTTGTTTAATCGTGAAGCTTTCATCGTCTTTCTGGACGACATCATCAGCTCATGATGTCGTCCAGAAAGACGATGAAAGCTTCACGATTAAACAACCCAGCTCAGAGAACACAATACAACCAAGACCATCCACCTGAGCTACAAATATTCTCCATTATTTTAATTATCAAACATGATTATAAATGAAGTCAAAATTGTGTAGTTACTCTTCTTGTCCAAATATCGTATTTTCTATCAAAATGAAGCAAGACCAAAGAGCAAACATTAGTGAATAAGTTATCACGATTCCTTTTTCCATGCGTAGGTTTGGTCAGAAAAGCTTTGACAATCAATTCAGTGTAATTAAATAGTTGAGACATTTTCTATGCTTTTATTTTTTTAAGACTACTAGTACCATCAACTTAACGTTTTGTATCTCCCAGGTTTATGTTAATTGCACTGGTCAGAATCCCTCTTCCCTTCAAGTACAGAGTAGTTACAATGTGTTAAGAATACCCAAGTTGAAGCTTTCTTCAACATTCTTTCCAATACACCCCTTAACACAGTCGTATGTAACTGGACAAACACAGTCTCAGTTAACGTGAGTAGGATATTCTTCCAATTTAAACTGGTTTAGTTACCATAAGGTATCGTAAATTGATACATGCCTGACTGTAAGTTAATCTTTCTGAGTATCTTTTTTAAGTGCAATACAACTTAAGCTTTTCTTCTCGACAGTTGGGTGTTTCTTGATTTACTTTTTTAGTATTCCATGATCTGTCATAGAGTATTTATTCTCTCTGAGGCAATTTTCAGTTATGTTTAACTTTCCTAACTTGTTTGCTCAACATACGTTCCTAACGCTAAAATAAAGTATCCCTATTAATCGTTGCCTAGAGCTGGTACGAAATCGACGTCGTAGTTAGCGTGTTGTTCAGTTCTTATGTCTTTGCCTCAGATGGTTTTCTTAGTCGCACCGCCATCTCTTTTCTCATATGCAATTACGGACAGTTTATTTCATTGTCAAGCCCATACCTTATCGTAAATTTAATTCTGCAATAAATCTCTCTGAGTTTGTCAAGCACCTAAGATGCCTGATCTATCTCATTACAAACTGGAAATGTGGCGTCAACGTACTCAGCTCAGCAACAAATTGTTCGAGATAACTGTAAAGAATGTTAGATCCTCAAAAAAATCGCCTAATGCTCATATTCGTAAGATAACCTACTTGGAACCTGAGTTCCACTTTTCTGCTTTTCCGCGTACCCCTTATTTTGACTTCTCTTAACGATGAAATATTCTTTTCATTTTTCTACCACAAGGACATTAACCTTATACATAAAGCAGTTATCTATATCCCTTGTATGCAATCTAGTGATATCTTCTTTGTTTTAGCTGAACGAGTTGTGAAGATTAAGTGTTTAAAATATAGTATAACTACTAATCTTAACAATGGCTTGTGCAGCTATCTACTAGGACAGGTGTTAGCCGTCAACTCGTGGTCATCTGATCAATCTGTCGATGAAGCTGGATGTCGAATTAGAATATGTCATCTATTTTGCAAAAGAGTAGTAGCAGATAGTTGGAGTGGGGGGAGGAATCGGCAGGAAGCCTTGAATCTAAGTTTCGTGCTTGATGGCACTCGTCAGCGAGGAGTATCTGCAATCTCAGGGGAACTGATGTCCTCGATGAGATTCGAACCCCATGTCACCGAGTGCTGCAGTCAGTATTATAGTTGTAACTATTTGTATGACCATGGACAGTAGTTTTCCTCGAAGTATTCTCAAATTTAGAAACATTCAGCTTAAATTTATTTATGATAAAATGGTTTGTTCCACAATGCCTAATCTGTTTATTGCGATACTTGCACCCCTAATTCATGTAAGTGTGAAATCAACTTCTTAGTTTTTACATGCAGTACTTTATCGACTTTCTCAAATCATCTCTTGTCCGAGTGAAATTAACACTTACTCATCGTTCTAGTTAAGTGACTTTCCACTGAAGCTATAAACAGGAATTTATCGTAAAATAGATGCTTTTCTGGCGTAACATGGAGCTATGCAGACGAGTCAGACATATCGGCTGCTTGTAACGCAAACCTCGGATATTGAGCAACCTTGATGCCACCCTTAGTAAAAAAAATGACTGAAAACGATCTAAACTCGTAAACACTGTAGGTGCTGAAAAGTGATATTTTCTTGTTTGTCTCATAACATGCAGACTCTTTTGATGTTATGATAGAGTTTAATGTCCTCCCTTCTGTACCATTCAGGACCGCTAAAATCTTGTAGATTTCTCAAACATTATCAATTTGATGATACCTGTAAACTGGCTTCTTACGTTAAATTCGTAATATGAGGATAAAAATATTTATTCCTCGTATTATACAGTGGATATTAGTAACAGTGATATCAATTTACACTGTCTCACATTCACAAAGTTGTTTTTGTTTCGTATCCCAAGTGAAACTATCTATATGCTATAGATGATACAAAGTCACATTAGCTCTTACTGATTGTTTTTGCTTCGTTTATTTAGATAGTTTGGGATGAAACTGAAGCTGAGATCGGTTTTGGTCCTTTCGATCTGAACACTGAAGAAAGTATTGAAATTGAGATGGAAGATGCTCTCCCAAACTCTTCATTAAAAGTGACTAATGTACCAAACTGTGATTATAACAACACTTCAAAAAATGTATCTTCTGAAATTCAAGCGAAACCAATAGTTGCTTCTGGAGCATCTGCTCGTTATCTTTTGGACTCAGCTGATGGACGTAAAGCTCTTTTAAATGATCTACTTGAATTGGGAGCATTTTTACAACGTTTCCAAGAGGACCTACTCGAAAGATTAGACAATGAAGGTGGTAATCAGCTTGGAGGGACTGGACGTAATACAACAGGACCATCAGGTTGTAGTGGTTGTGATGCTCTCCAGAATATGATCATGCAGGTTTGCATATTCTTTTGTTATTCTATTTATGAAAAATATTTTACGGAATATAGCGGGTTTTCATGTTGTCTTCTCGATCATCTTGTTTTCCATTTTTTTATATCTATTCTGCAAAAATAATTTCGAAGCAGAAAACACAGACAATCAGCATTTGCCACTATCGCCGTTGAGATTAGTAATTAATAAATAATTCACATTCAGACAATTCCCTCTATTCTTCTTCCACTTCTTCTACTGAGAATAGTTTTCAAATTGCCAAACAAAAGGTCATGGGAACTCAAAGGTCTGCTAACTATTTTTGTAAACTGTTGACAGGGTTTAAACGGTAGGTTAATTGAACTGTCACTGATTGACAAGACTGTTGGTATCAATCAATCGGCCGCCTTGCTTACCGATGTAACTGCAGCCTCTCACAATTACTGGCTTTTATTCAGAATGTTTTATTTTGGGGCCACTTGTAATCCCTACTTGGTAGAAGTCTGATCTGTTTTGAATGAAGGAAGTTTAAGTATTCCTCAGAACCGCCTCTTAACTTACATTTAAGTCATCGTGTGCAAACTCAAGTTTTCTCAGCTTCAAAAACTTAAGCAAACCAAAATTGAAGGCTAAGTTATGGGCAGAGAAAGTATACAACGAGACCACTCAGAATAATGTTATATCAAAATTAGCTGTCACGACAAATTTATGAAGTGTCTTTCAATAGAGCAAAGACGATTAAATGTTTGATTTATACATTTTAGAGATGAATGGGGATTTTTAATTTAGAAGTAGTATTCATCACGGATGGACATCAGTTGAGGAGCCATTGAAGATCAGGGAACACTGGACAGCTGTTTCATCCTAGTATGGGACTCATCAGCAGTACGCACCCATGACCCAGCTAGGGATCGAACTCAGGATCTCCAAGTTTTGCGCCGAACGCGTTAACCATTCAGCCACCGGGTCGGTTTCCAGTGGTTCACAATTTTCAACTTCTGTCAATTCACGACTGTCACCCAAGGTCTTCAGTTAGCATCCACTTCACTTCCGACTGTTTGACCCCACAGGTCATAGCTTCAATGGTTCCCCAACTGATGTCAGTCCATGATGAACTATACATTTTAGTTAATTATCAGTGAATTAGAATCGGTGTTGGCACATAATAGTCGAAGTTGCCACAGTTCATATCATTACACCAAGCTAGGTAGGCACACAGTTTAACGAGAAACAGGGGCGAAATTGATCAAAAGTTGTAAAAAGAAGAAGTTAGGTAATAATGAAGTTTGGTATGATAACTATGATGTGTAGGTGCATCTGCGATCTCATCTGAGCCATATCACCTAGGGTCTCCAATAATGGGTTTCTGTTATCACACCGACCTCGATTGGGAAATCTGCATTTCCCTGCATATCTCAGATCAGCAGTCAGAGAATTCAAGGACTGAAGGTGTGTTTTAGTCTTGCAGCTTCTAACCATTTCTTCCACCGAAACCTACTTTATGTAACCTCATGCGACAAGGCTGACAGTGACTAGACATGCGTAGAACATGCCCCAGATATTTGAGTCAGTGAAGATTCACGACCTTTTTTTCCTTATCTATTTAAAACTCTACACCTGACTTCTGTGTTAGTGAAATAGTAGCTGTAACTCGTTGGTCTAGGCACTCTGCGTCCAGCCGATGTGTCTTAAGCGTGACTGCTGATGTCTGGGTAACCAGGTAGTATCATCGATCCTCAAGAAGTGTGACTCACTGCCTGCTTCACGAACATACAGTTGGTTGCTGAGTGGATTTCGACGTTGCTGACATGGTGGCGCCACAACACACGGCCTGTGATAAGAAGACGGTGGTGGTTAGACACCTGAAGCCTTTCCGTGTCCTTCACGTCCATTGGTTGTTTCACAGCTACATACTAGAACGGAGTAAACTGCTGTACAGTTCGCCCAATCCCTAAAAGGTTAATGTATAAAACAATTACCTTCGATTTTGTTGTTTACTCTATGTAACAGTGACGTAGATGACTTCGTGATTTTGATGATAGCCATCAGAATGTGTGCCATGTTGGTAGTAGAATGGTAGGAACTTCGTTACTTGAATATACTCAGAAATTCCATACTTTAACATTTTAAAACGGCTTAGAGCACAATATTATGATGTATCCCTGGTTCGTAAATGATAATCTCATTGTTCATCAACTAAAACTATGCATTGTATTATATCAAAGAATCTAATGTATTTATCTGGGTGGTTGTAGTCTATGAAGCAAATAATCATACTGCTTCATGTTGTTCTTCTGCATATAAAAGGTTGTGCCGCGAGTATAAGACATCTTAAGGCTTTCAATAATGGGATTCTGTAAATTGTCCCCTATCAAGTAGACTACATTATATGCATACCCTGACCATAGAAAAGATTAATTCGAAAATTAAAATACATGATGGATTCACTTAAGGAGGGGATTACTTTGTGGTCTTAGAATGAGGTTTACTACAAGCTGATACGTGACTACTTAACGTATCCATGGAATTCGTTGGATAAAGATAAAAGTGTTTTTCTTGATTTCATTTCATAAGTGGGAGTGTTCAGCATCATCATACAGTTTCTCCGTATCATCAACCTTCGTTTATTTCATTTCACTGCACAGGAACAAGAACGCGATGCATTATCGTACTGGTCTTGTTTTTGCGGTCAGTTTGTTGATTGTATTGGTGGGAAATTGTATTTGTTTTCTGGATTAAAAAAATATGTACGTAAGACTGTGTATAACAGAAGTCTTTAAGATAAGTGCATATTAAGAATTTTATTTGGTAGTTATTCTGAAAAAATCGAAAGGCATTCGGCAACTAACTGCACGTTTGTGCAGTAGTCGATGAATGGCACCTTTTGTATAAGAGATAGTGATACTACATGGATGCTTACACCTCGGCAGGTTGAGCGATGCTCAAACCCGTGACCCACTGGTTGAGAGTCAACTGCTTAAACCAGCGTGCCACAGGTCACACATACCTAAACGATGTAGAGATTTCTACTGCGTAGTTTTTGCTACTGAATATTCTATCAAAGTAGTTTGTATCTGTTGGAAGAAATTTATTCGCTTCGAAAATAATCTACCGTCAAATGTATTAAAATCCCTTCACTTTAATCTTGATACAGGTTGTCCATGTAATCACTAAATTATCACCCTTATATTCTGAATATGTTGTGTTTTTTTCATCTCATTACGTAGCTGTTTTATTTCATCTTCTATTCTCGCATATTTCTGTTGATCTTGAGTCATTTAAGAATAGGGTGAAACGAATTTGACACAATGATTTTAATAGAATTAGAGTTGTTTAAGGTAACTCTTCAAAGCTTTTTTTATAACTGCAACTATCTATTCAGTAGGTTTACCAAGATCATTAAAATACTGCGCTTTAAGGCTGAAAAGCAGAAAAGAAACTTATGAACAAGAATGTTTCACCTTTGGATTACATGCATGACCATCTCTTCTTTCTTACTTTGATTTTAGAATGCCCACAAAACATTCAGTCATATACATACGATGAAATATCTAAAATGATTGGACTTGTTAAAGAAGCTCAAAAGAATTTAACAACCAGGTAATTTTATTGACAGTTGTACTCTGTAATTCTAAAAATATTTCCTTTGAAATAAACTAAAATATGGTTCATTTTCTAAATATCAAGTTCATTGAGCCAGCTGATGATGATACGAAGCAGAACGGGATATTTAGACCGACTGACTGATCGACTTATGGATTATAGACGTCAAGTAGAATTAGCCAAGACACGAGTCTGTCAAACACAACAACTAATTGACAAGGCAATAAAGGAACAGGAAGAAAAGACAACACAACTTATCCACTATAAACAATCGTGTAAGAAGCTAGTCAGTTTTGTAAGTTCCCCATAGTATCAATTTGATTTTTATCATTGTTGTCATATGTGTAGTACTTTTCAGTTACTTTCTTCATACACGCACTAGGCTATTTGTTTCTTCTTTAAAGTGATGAATTTCTATGCATAAACTTGGGTGAAGCTACAGACTGCAGTATTATGCTGTGTGTATGCCTATCTTCACCTGAGTTGGAATTCTACATCTTACTTCAGTTATTTAGGCTTATATTGTCTCCTTAAATAATAGTTGAATAAAGGGTTGACCATAGATAGTAGCAAATAGATAATCCCAAGCATAAATTGTTTGCTTTTGAAGCGCCTTATTCACAAAATAACATACACTAACCTCATAATATTCACAGCTCCCATGTATATTCAGTTTCCGCTTCTGACAGTAGACGTTTCACAGTTATACCACTTAATAAGGACGAAAAAGTAGGATCACTGCATGTAATCCCTCTTCAGAAGTCATAATTCGTGTTAACCATAATGAGAAGAAATGTGTACTTCAGTTTGTGATTGACACAATCACTAGCGTAACCTATTCCAATCTTTTGTCAAAATTTAAACTGTGCGCATGTAAGCCGTATAAATAATAATAATGATAATGTAGCGTACAAGACAGTGGGGACTGAAACGTAAATATGGGCAAATGGGCACAGTAGCATTAAATCCTTAAGACGCTAGGTCAAAAAGCTGCAACTGGATGTTTGCTACTTACAATCTGAAGTCGTCCAATATTACGATGAGGAACTCATTCTAGGAATTCCCACAGAAAAGTGATGATAGTAACAAAGCGCAATGTTACTTGACTCCTCACTCTATCACTTTTTCATCTCATATCAGTATATCCACTACGACGGTCTTTTACATGTTATTACTCAGAAAGGAAAACTAGGAGAGCCATATGATTTCGTATTCCACACTTGACAACTAATCGAGACTTGTTACCAGTAGATTCAAATTAGTGTGATGCCATAATTCGCGTAAAATCTTTGATCTAAACCATCTTTAGAGTTATATTTATGAGTATGCTTATTGACACAGTTCAGATTTATCGAATAAAATAGTATTCAATAAGCGACCATCTGCCATTCGTGTAAGTTTATTCACTCAACTCTCTTGAATAATTTATTAAATTGTAAGTCTGCTTTCTTTTGTTGATGAGTATACTTCAAATTGATACGGTTTGATAAAAATGTGTTATTACTTTGCCTTACAACTTCAGTTAGAGGATGAATTATCAAGGACCTGTAACCGTCAAGTACAAATAATTGGGCAGTTCTGCGATCTGTGACGCAATATATTTCTGCTTTTTTTTTAAAAAATAACTCCCTACTTCATTAGATATTCGGCCTGCATTTTTAAAATACATGCCTTCGAATAAAATTTTTTTGTTTTAAAATCCGGACAAATGATGTTTTATACAGGGTTTACGTTCGTGAATTTCTAAAAGATTACATGAGTTTACTCCTTTTTATACACCTGCAAGGAAATATTTCACTGAAAATGTGTATAAAAGTTGTAGGGTGTATGGATCTGTCTGATTGTTGAGAACGATACCTATTCAGCATCTTGGTTAATTTATATACGACGGGAAATAGCGTAGGCATCCGCTATATCTTATATTAGATCATCAACTGTATATGCTTCCCTGGACATCAAGTATTCAAACTAAACTAGCGGGAGCTATATGGATAGGAATCCAAGTTTTTATTCCGAATGAAAATTAGTATGAAGACCTACTAGCAACTCCTGTTCAACCCTGGTACTACTATTTAATTAAAAAAAAATTGAGGATGAAGTATGGACAAGATAGTCGTTGCTTACATATTCATTCAGTTTAAACTTTTCCTAAAATAAGAGTGAAACGTGGGGAATGTGTTAGTGTATAGTTTCTTGTTGACGTGCTTTCTGAATATTTCACGAAATTAAACAATATTATTTATTTGATGACATTCTACTTAGGTTCCTACTATAAAGGGAGAAGTACAACCATAAAAACGATGCTCTTAGTTTGGTATTGGTCAATTAATTAGTTGTCAATACATCCTAGTTTATACTTCGTGTTTTCACCTTGTCTCATGCTGGTGGATCAGCAGTGTATGGGATAATAATAATAATAGTGAAGGCGGCAGTCAGATACAGGCTCAACACCACTAATTAATGTGTTAATATTTGGCCTAGAGTGCTGGACAAATTAGTCAATCAGACCGTGAACCCCTATCCATAGAGGTGACTTTTGCATGTGACGTTTGTCGAACCACATCTCACCACAACGTATGATGCTAGCTCGAACAGGCCAGGCTACGAAAAGGCTGGAGGCAGCCGGACCAATATGTAGCACCGGATAGTGAATTCTCTGGATGATGATGGGAGCAATATATGGAAGTGTAAGCTGTCGTAATTGAGTCACCGACAAGATATATTAATGATTTACAGCAGCATACCGAATTTAAAGAAATGGTTATCACAAGTTATTTATACTTTATTGTAAAAATATGAATGTTACATCAACTGCTCACCAGGTGCAATGAAAAACAAAACTACGTAACTTACAGTAACTACATGGTAAACGAACGAGATTAGAAATTTCTTATGATTTATGGGGAAGCCGAATATATTGTAATTTTCACAAAACCAAAAGTAAGCATTATTGCTAGCTGGTGAAATCTTAAACAGCACACAAGGCAAAAAGCAGGAAATCAAGTGATCACTAGCAGGAAATAAGTCATGCTCATTTCAGTGACAAGATAAGAAAATAAATACTGTTGATTACACAGCATCCGAATGTTAGTACCATTCACGTTATTTCCCACAGAACCTAAAGTGACCATACACAAGACTAGTAAACCCAAAAACTAAACCAAACTCCTGTCCGAGGAGGGGATATACGAAAAACACCTCTGCATTCTTTGAGTTCTAAACATACCACTTGTACGGCTGCCATTAAGAATGGTCTAACACAAGTTTTGTAAACTAAGAGTTAGGCTTCATGGCTGTAGAAGTTACAAATTACACAGCCTATAAGAATTCTTGGCTTTCGAGTCTGCGTTGCAGACTGTTCAGCGAATTTTAGGCCGATAGAATGCCTCAGACCCAAGCCGACAACACTGTATAGGCTAGGCACATTCACAGACTTAACTGCATGTTAACGGTGGGTGAACCGAAGCATATCCAGTCACACTCGTCTAAGTTGAGTCGATGTCTTGACATGGTGAACTATTTAGCTACCAGGTCTAGTCATTTCTGTATCAATGTTTGAATGTAGCGTAAGTTATCATTAATGAATGTGTATGCAACCTTAAGGTCATCAGCAATCACAAACGGTTTACCATGTGAGAAACCGCTACAGCGATCATTACAAAAAGGGAGAAAAGTGGAGGATTAAGCACATTACCTTGAATTACAGCAGATATAATCGCTCCAGGTTTTGAAAGATGAGACCCAATTCTCACTACTTGAGAACGGTTGCTAAGGAAGGATCAGTTCCAAGCCAGCAAGGAGTATTCTATTTTATGACTTTCTAGTAGCAGAGTGGTCAACCCAATCAAATGCTCTAGAGATGTCAGGATAAAGGTATAGGACTAATAGATGTCGGTCATGTTTACTGGTTATATAATAGTTGGAGTCAATGTGGCAAGTTATGCATGAACGTGACTTCAAGAAACCACGGTCACTAGATGTGATAAAATTATTTCCCAGAACATGTTGTTGAACGTTCTCCTTAACTATCTTCACCATACTGCTAGAAAAAAGCTGTACAATATTTATTAGCCTGTAGTTATTCAATTCATTTTTTGCACACAACATATGTTTAGGTTAAACGAAGAATGTATCCCAGATATCAGGGTACGCAAAAGTTTCAAAGGAATTGGATTAAAACCTAAGCAACAATATCGAAATATTAGGGCTACGAAGTTTAAAGAAATACGGCGCTATCCCATCTGTAGCTATACATGAACAAGCTTCTTGGGAAATCTTTGTTACGCGACTCGGAGGCGATCATATTGGTACGTGTGTACACAATGCCATCGTCGAATCCTCAAACATTCCCGACCGCCTTCATCTTTCTGTTCTCACACACAGTCTTATATATTTTGACTTCGTTCTTTATCGGTCTAGTTCATCTTTGTATGGTACTGTGGAGTGTGACAACTTCACTCTGTGCACTTGTTTCTGAACTGGTGCACTTTTATGCCAGATTATAAATCAATTTGTCTCTGTATATCGCTGTCTTGTTGCGTGACTATCACGGAATTTAAAACTTCTTGCCTTTCCACGCATACGAACGAAATAACGCCAAAACAATCATACCTGTTTTCAGCTACCCATCCATGTTACTATCTTGGTTCCTACTTATTGTCTGTGCTTTTCTGTATATCGATTACTCATTTGAACATCCCAGCTGGTGTCACTAGAGCATACGCAGTCAGTATTGACACACACGCTAAACTGGAACACTGAGTGGATATAGGGAAAAGCATACATCTATGGCAAGCACCTCGGTGCTTCTGTATGACTCAGAGACTTGGCGCGTTACGAAAGGAATTTCCAACAAACTACAGACATTCATCAACAGCTGCCTACGCTCACTTGGTACTGAAGCTCAGATGGATGGCCAGAAATAATAAGCAACAAGGAACTCTGGTGTGGCGACGAACCAACCAAGAACCTATCACCCAACAAATATGCAGTGGAAGGAAGTGGAGATGGATTGGGCATACACTGAGAAGGCCGACTGCGGACATCACGCGTCAGGCCCTCGAGTGGAACCCCGATGGGAAGCGACGAGTTGGGTGTCCGAGGTGGTGACATGGAGGAGATCGTGCAAGGAGGAAATGAGAGCTTCTGGGCTGTTGTGGAGCCAGGTTCAAGAGATTTCAGAGAACAGAGCGCATTGGAGACGTGCTACTGAAGCCCTATATCCATTAGGAACCCAAAGCTCTTATAATAATAATGATGGCAAACACCTACATTGTGGCACAAGTGCACCACCCTTGCTTGACCATTACTCGAACAGACTTGTGTAGCTTTTCCAGCTCTGATGAATGTCTTCTTTCTGACACATATGCGACAAATAGCGATGGTGAGGTTTCGAACCGTCCAGTTAGTTTGGTTTATTAGAAATCTCTCGGCCAAAAGTTGCGTATCAAAACAACGCCACCCCAAGCTAAACACCACTTGGGAAAGCTGACCTGACGACCACACAGCAGATCGGTGCTACCCAAAACTCGAAGTTGCGTGACATCAAAGCTGAAAACTCACTAGTATCAACAGTCATCCTAAAATAAATAGGAACATGCTTTCCTCCGAGAAGTCAGTGATGTCTTCGAAACAACGGGCACAAATACTCGACTACACTAACATTTATTGTGGCCGTCTTACCGACTCTCACGCACAGTTTATCATATCTACACACACGTCCAACCACTGCGTGGTAGCGACCAACGCACACAAACGCTTCAAATTAGCTCGCAAACAACTAAACACTTCTTGTTATCACTGCATCGCGATGAGATGAAAATACAAGCATTGCTATCGTACGTGTCAGTACGACTACACATTACAAGTGAAACGTCCAAATACCAAGGTAGTCAACCAAATAACTGATCCAACTCAACCGTGCGTATATCCACATACAAAGCTATGATCTGCACACTATGAGGACCTGACATACCACTCGCTGAACTGTACCTACAGCGAAGTCAACTACTGCAAACTAAGTGTCACACAGAATTCCGAGCAGGTCTCAGGTTGTTAAATTGGACAAAGGCACCCACTATATCAATGCTAGTTTTCCTACTTACTGGATACTAAAATGCCTACTCTATGTCATCTAACTGACAAATCCATTTACTCCAGTTCCGTCGGAGATTATGCCGATCTAATCGACAGCCTCACACATGACACGCAACGACAGACAGCCACTCTGCTATTAGGCGTAAAAAACATGGTAATAATAAACTAGACACCTTTATTTACACAACAGGCACACAAGACAGCTGATCCTCCCAAAGTCAGTTACACAGTAGCTCTTCAATGGAGATCTGCATCGGCAAACCTGAAATATAGAAAACAATATGTTAGCACTTCCTCGATACTATCTGCTTTATGATCAGCTAAAAGTGTCATCCAAACTGGTCAGAGACGAAAAATAAGTCATCACAGTCAAAGGAAATGGCACACACCTGGGTGGGAATTTCATTTTCAGCCCGAATGTTTAGCGAACGGTCTCATAGCCGTCCTTCAATCTCCAGACGGACCAGAGGAAACATAAATCCGCCAAAACGAATG